GATTCTGTATCTAGAGGGAATGTTGTGAAACGTTTAACATTATCAATAAAATGAATTAATGTTTCTTCAGTTGTTCGATAATTTATAAAAGGTAATTCATTAGACAATGGTTGAAATAGTGGATAAGTTGAAGCATATTGATGTTCTACGAGCTTTTTTCGAAATATTTGACGAAGATTTCTATGTTTTTATGGGTAAAGATGATGGTATGTTGTTATATTTTCATAATACATCTTTGTATTCTTTTTGAGACAACATGACTGGGTGATCCCATGGGGTCTCTATAACCACTAGAGTACTATGTTCAAATCATTGTTCAATGGGCTCATCTTATAAAGCTTTTTGCGCTGATCATTTTTGCTACCAAAACGTCTAGCATTCAATAGTGAATAAGAGAGAAATCAACGAAATACTGAGATACCGCTCTTGCAATTATTTTTTGACTCCAAATGTGACCTTTTTTCACTATCTTAGCCAGCAATCGTTTTAATATTTTCTTAATCAAAATTTCAACTTCAGAGTCGTGTAGAGCATTGAAAACTGTCTAATATTATGTATTTTTGAAAGTATTTTCTTGATATTTTATTGGTTCAATGCATACACCTTTCTTTTACTACATACACGAAAAATGAGGAAAATACGGAAAATGTTGATTTATGAGTTCAATAAAAAATGGAATTCTTGCACTTGATGGTGTATACAGTTTGATAGAGCAGAAACTTCTCTATCGAACTGTACACTTAACTTTTCGTGGGAATAGTATTTGCTGATAAAATAGGGTCAACAACGCGAAAAAAGCTGTTTTTTCCACAGTATTTTATGCGAATTTCCGTAATATTTCAACATTCATTCATATTTTTACGATCAGAAAAAATTTCAATGTTGAATTCAGAATCAGCATGAAAAACTGCATCGAATAAGCTATTTTGTGCCATGTCGGTTCATCTTGCCTAAAGTCTCGTGGACTATGTATTTATTCCTTTCTTTTGTACTGCCAACATATTGAATTATATTCAAAAGAAGTTATGTCATAGTGTGAAGCTAGCTTATCAACAAATGTGAATCAAATATTATTATTCTGAGAATCAGCATTCATTGCTAATTATTTTTCACTAGCTTATCTGCTACTTTATCACAACTTATTCGGTCATACTTGAGGTACCCTTCAGGGTGTGGATGTTGATGGGACAGAGGGAAGATCTACACCCACACCCATACCCTTTTTCTATCAATCATGAATTTTAAATATTATTTTTAAACAATTTTTTTTCCATTTTTAGTTATTTTACGAAAACATGGAAGTATTTTTTTTATTCAGCAATTGTTCTAAAGCCGTTGTCAAAATATGTCGTATGACTGCTTCAGTTATACTCATCTGTAAACTCACCATTTACGTGAGATTTGACTAAGATTTATATCTATGTACATGATTCTATATCTGTGTATATATAATGATTAGTGTTATATATTCTTGTTGATCATCTTAAGAGTTCCACAGTGTTCATGAATAATTAACCTAGTTATATCTCTTCTATCAGTATATTGCAGAAATAGAAGACTATTGAATTTATTTCAGATGTATTTGTATTATTTATACGTCCTCGAAAATCAATCAAACAATAATTGAACGTTTATTTTATAGTTTTTCAGCTGCATCTTGTGGTACAAAGCCAAAGTCTCGTTTTGCATCATCTAAATCGACCCAAAGACGATGATTATTCGACATAGCAAAATATGTCCCACTAATATATAGAGGAGCTTGTAATGCCTTATCAATAAACAAACAAACATCACGATGACTAAACCATACAGTTCGAGCCCACGTTGTTCCAGGTTGATCATATACATTAACCCATCCAAAACGAGCACAAATAATAGATTTGGAACTATTCTTAACTATATCAGTAGCCATTTGTTCACCAATAATTTTACTTTGACTATATGCTATGTTTCCTGGTGTTTGAAGATCCGGTAAAGGCGAATCATCTGCAATAGTAAGCTTTCGAAGATCTTTTAACATCGTTGTATCATCAAAAGTGTCATTCATAATTGAAAGATATGGTTCACGAGTAAGATAACCAAAAACTGTCATGACTGAACTCGCATATATAATACGTCGAACACCCGCTAAAGTATATGATTAATCAACAATTGAATAAAAAGAAATGATGAAAACATACGTGCTTCAAAGACATTTTTTGTTCCTTCAATATTAACACGTGAAATCTTTTCAATATCAGGATCAGTCTCACCTATAGCTGCTAGATGAATAATAATTTCAATTTTTTGTTCTTGAATAATTTTATGCAATTTTATTCGATCAGTAATATCACATTGAAAGAATTTATCTAATGGAAGTGGTAAGATTGGTTTGGCTTCAATAGGATCACGGTATTCTAACTGATACTTTGGCGATATATTTGTATGTTGATCCAGTCCAAAGACTTGATACTTTGTAGTTAAATAATTAAATAAAATTCTTCCTATTAATCCTGAAACACCAGTAATTAATATTCGTTGTTGATCTAAAGATGATTCGATTCTATTAGAATTTATTTCAGCCATAGTTATTGTTCTGATGGTAGAGAATCGACTTACACCTTTGTTTGCAACAGATAAAAAGAAGCTTGAAGAATGTTTAAAAAAGAATGAAAAAAGATTAGATAAAATGTAAGATTATTCTACTAGGAAAAAAAAACGAAGAGTCTTTAAGTTTGATATTTATTTTTTGATAAAGGCTTTTGTTTTCAATATGTAATAATTGGTCGAAGAAATTCTTTAACACCAGCATATATTTCTTGTCCAACTCGTTCAATAAATGTTAATGGAAGCATAATAGCAAAATTTGCATGTACATCATTCATATCATCTGGAGGACGGAATTCAATAGTATAAACATATTTTATTTGGCTAACACCTTTAGCCTAATCATTACTACCACCGGCTGACTCATCTAAATCAAAATAAATAAAAGATGATTTACAAATACAAAAAAAAAGAAACAAAAAAGAATTTACAAAGTAAATTAGCTGCTGATCCAATCTTGTAAAGAGTCCCATTGACACGTTTTAATGCTTTGGAACCAATTGTTGCTTTATTTTTCTATAAAATAATAAATATTAATAAATGGAAGAAAAGAAATTTCAAAATACTAATTCAATATGATCATCAGGCATATATAAAGCAAATTACCATGGATAAATCCAATATTGTCCATAAAAATGAAATATTAAATAAGCATCCCAATATCGAGAGGATTGATTAATATATTTTTGTAAACTTTGTGTTTCTGGTTCACTATCTTGTTCAGATTATTTATACGTTTCAGAACAAGGATTTGTCGATGCACCATTTTCTAAAATATCAAATACCATAAATAAAAAGACAAAAAGTCAAAAATGAATATTAATCCATTCAATGATATCCAAAATTTCGATTAAGATCAACTCTAATACAATTGGAATTTTCACGATAATAATAATAACCATTAAGTGCTCGATTTTTATGCCACATGCGTTTCTATTTGATTATAAAAAATTTGTTTAAACTAAACAAAAAAAGTATATAAAGTACTTCTGTATAAGCATATTCATAATCATCTGGATTAAGTAATGGAATTATATATATATATATATATTAAATACTGATAAAAGTGATGGTTTTCTATTATTAACGTCATCAATCAACTAAAACACAATAATCTCATATTGTTTTTTCAATCTATAAATTATAAGAACACTCTAGGTGATATGGGAGAATTGCATGATTAATTTGTTGACCATTTAGGACTCTCATTTCCTAACTACGTCATTATGAGCTCATCCTTTTCTCTCAAAAAAATTGTTTTTTTTCACGGTTTGTTTAATTGTGCTATTATGTTTCCTAGTTATTGAACAACGAAGTCATTTTCATTGTCTACTGAACATTTGTGTTAGAAATTCTTCCATCATATTTCTTTGTGTCTTCCAAGTAGCACCATTCTTTTCCTTGATCTGAACAAAAATAGAACGATTAAACGTATCTGAAACAAAATTAACGATGTTCGGAAATATTCTAACGGGAATCTTAGGATGCTTCCATGATTGATTGTATCCATCAAGAAATGCTTGGAGAATTACCTAGATGTTTGATATTGTCTGAGTTCGTTCGATAGTTCGCAATTCTGAACTCGAATCATTTGGGTCTCCTGAATGTCTACTTCTATTCTTTGAGATAAAAGATGAATATGAAATATTATGTTCTATAGAAGGATATATTAAATACGAGAAGATTTTCAAATATAAACTCTAGAAAATGTTTTTTTAATTGTACATGAATATACCCATAATCTAGCCTAGGCCAGACTAACATACTCTGAAATTTTTGATTGAAATCAGACGAAAAATAAAAAAATTTGTTGGTGAGGGAAGGATCCCTCTTAAGCAAAGACCTTATACAATAATTTTTCAATGATCTGCGGTGGGCTACGAGAAAAGAATTTGCCACACTTGAGACCATGAGAACTAGTATCGCATATCTGTGAGTTCTGTCTCTACTATATTATCTGAGATACCGATCCAATTGCTTTACATATATTAGTCTTCTTATTTTATACATCACAAAAAGAGTTACAAGTCAATGTATGAATATGAAGTGCATTTCTCATAGATTTCTTCGGTACCACTAAAAGATATTTTGAACAAGAAAATGAAGCCGTACATTAGTCTATGCTCGTTTCATATAAGAAATCGAACAACCGAAAGTGACGACCCGTAGAGACGCTGATAATCGACTGCGAACTATCTCATATGGTTCACCTTAGAAAGTCTTAACGAAAAACTTAAAAGCTCGATATTTTTTTCATCATGGTCATCACTGGTAATATCATACAGTTTACATGTATGAGCAATGTATATTCAAAGACAGATCTCAGAATGGAATCCAGAAACAGTGACAGACAACGATTAGATTGGATTCAGTCGAGGATCAAGAGAGTCAGAGCGACGAGCGTTACTTGTTTCTTTAATACATGAAACAGAGAGATAACAAGCCAAAAGTACAATGAATAATAACAGAAGAGAGAGAATGGAAGAGATAAACAAGAACAACCGAGAAATAGCAGGAATGATCACGCATACATATGCATGTGTCGTGCCATAGTGGAATATACTGTAAATGACATTGAGATCCATTTTATATTACTAGTATGAAATTTTAAGATAAAAAATATTCAGGTCATCATTTGTTGACAATATCATTGATTATCTTTCTTCGAGACTGAAAAAGAAATCTTTCAAAAAGAACTTTTTCTTTTAAAATACTTTTCTATTCAAGGGATTTTGTAATTTTTAAAAGTTTTCTTAAATTTAATTTTCTATATTATTCATCGATATCATATTTGATTATCAAGAACACAATATCCATAGTTTAAATACTTTTTTTCGACTATAATAAACTCATATTTTATTTATTGTTATAAAATTAATAACTAAAATGTTTTAATATATTAGTTGAATAAATATAAGATATATTAATCAGCTATATAATCAAAATATTCATTGTCTATTGCTTTGCTTGTTTAATCAAAAATAAATACATTCTTTATCATTAATCATGACGCTACTATAATAAACGTTCTAATCGAACTTGTTCACCATTATTCGTTTTAATAATTAATTGATGTTCATCTTGAACTTCTAATTTTTGTAACCCAGAGATTAAGTTTCTCAATACATCTTCTTTATACATCTCTTCTGGTAAAGCACCTATTTCTGTTGAAGAAAAATCAGAAATTGCCCATTGATTAGTTGTAGAATTATGTTTTAAAATACAAGTTAGATGATTCGTCACATCCATATCAAGCTTAAATACATTTGGATCTAGGCCATAGCCCTTAATTTCAATTTGACAATTAACACAATCCGGATGTTGAGGATAATCAACAATTTTCCAATCACCTTCAACATCAGTAACATGTGATGGCATGATAATGTTATTGGAATTGAATAATTATCTTTTAAGAAATCTAGAATAACAGTAGAATTAGAAAAGAAAAAAGAAAAAAAAAAGGTCGTCCTAAATAGCAAAAAGGAATGATTTTTTTTTGTTTCATAATATGGTTTTGTCACTATTTAAGAAGAAAAATAATACACATGTTTGTATAACCAATTGTTAAGAAATGAGAGAATGAGAAGAAAAAGAAAAAAAAACGAAGTATGCACTATCTACGCCTATTCTTTTAGTTTAAATGCAGTCTTCACCATCACAAAGCATTGTCTAGTGTATTATTCACTTCTATTAGGGTGTCGACTATGTTTACTATAAACACATGTCCAATTATTTTGTAAGAACAAAATAACGAAGAATACGAAAAGGAAAAAAAAAATCTAAGCATCGATGCGTATAACATTGACGATTAATGAAAAAAGGTAGAAAACGAACAATGCAGAGATATTGTGTCTTTTAACTGTACATTTTGAAATTGTATATCAAACTGAAAAACTTAGATCATCTATAAATGTACTAATGTCCCTTTCAAAATAAAAGGCAGATTGTCATTTTTCGAATAACTTTTGATAGAAACAAGATAGAGAGCTGCAATTTTCACCATTTGAAAGAGCAGGAATTGGGCACCAATTTCATATAAAATCAAAGGATCGATATCATGTAAAAGTATGGTTAATTTGTTGGACTTTTTGGAAGCTTCATCTTTCTCATAGCTTCCATTACATATTTCTTGTTCAAGAGTGTGTTCGGTCACCTGGATCATGCTCTATAAAGCCACGCAAACCACAGGTTTTTATCGTGTATTACTTGAACAGGGAACCAGTTTTACTAGAAGCAACTACATCGTATTTCAAAAGTTCTCATTTCTTCTTGGAACGTTGAAAATAGGTTATTGACTACGCCGAAAATTCCAGAATAATTAACTTTATTCCAAAAAGAGTGTTTCTGGCTCAGTCAATGAAATGAGTCTTCAAATCGAAACAAAAAATCCTAACAAAACTGAAAACTTTACGAAAAAGTGGGTTTCTCTACTGACAGTGACATTTGGAAAGTGGAGATAATCAATTGTTCTTTTTTCGATTCAGTCTGTTCGGGATAGGTTATGTACATTCATTGCATATGTGCTGTAGTGTGTTGGTTTCGAATCATTTTCCATTATATCTGGTGATTCAGTGTTCATCCAAATATGTGGTAATTGTGCTTCCGTATATTAGTATCTTATGTCAGGCGAGACTACTCCTACCGTAAGAGTATTTTTTCTCCTTCTATGGCACAATTACATTATGTTTATCAACATTCCTTCTCGTTCTCCTATAGTTTTTTTTTCTTTTTTAAGTTGCTTTTTTTGAATTAAAATAAAAAAGAAAATGTCTAACATAGTGTGTTCTGATCTTTATTGATAAGCACAAATCATTGTCGAAGACATTGATCATGTTTTAAATCTCTATTAAGTTCTAGATTTTCGTGTGTGACGGTTAACTTTCTTGAATTCGTACTCGATAATGCCAAAAGAAAAAGAGTACAGCAAAGAAATGAAACAATTGATGTTTCAAATAATCAGTTTCGTTGAAAGTGAAAAGAACGGATCTCAAATTCCACTATCCAATACAACTGGCCGCTTAATAACCATGCGTGAAGCCCCAGAAAGGTCAGTCTTCCGATTGCGAGAAAAAATGGTCAGTTTGAAAGAAAAGGAAGTTGAGAAGTCAAATAGCCTCAGATACAGCGATGTCACCTAAGCAGTTACATAAAAAGCGTAACGCTTCTGTTGTCATACCTTCACCAAGTTCTCTAAATAAGAAGAAAAATAGTGAAAGAAAAGCAATTCAACTCACCGAAATTCAACAAGACAATATTCAGTATTGTTTAAAAATATTACAATATATTTGCTGAGGTTTTTCTGATAAGATACGAATTTCATGCAATTTTAGCTGAAAAAGGCTACCCAACCACTGAGAAAATTCTCAATCGACTACTAAATGAAGATCCAGAATTTTCAATTCAGAGCAAAATAACACTTTGGCGATGGATGCAAAATCCAGGTTTTCAGTATAGACGAACATCGTCAATATCCATTCTGCAGGATTCACTGAAGGGTGTGGATGGGTGGGTACGTTGTTCCTTAGTAAACAGATACCTACACCCATATACTCTCGAATTTAAGAGAAAAATCATCCTGAAAAAGAAACAGTGTGTAAAAAAAGCTTGTTAGCACAGTTCCTTTGGAGTTGAAATGTATAATTCACATATATCCTTAAACCTTAATATTCGAATACATCATATGTAAACTGAAAAATTTCGTGTATACTGTAGTTGTTTTCATTGACAATCAATGACAAGAGCGAGACTTTGTTATTTATTTCTACATTTAAAACAGAAAATTTTTTTTGTTTGACAGTGCCCTATTTTTATTTTGCATTGTTGCTATTCGCTCAGTATCTTTCTTTTTTTTAATTCGCTTTTCGTAATTCAGCATTCTTATTATTATAATTATTGAATTAATTGGCAGATAAATCTGTTTTACATATCCATGATATCTACAGAAGATCTTACGCACTATTATATATATTAATCAGCTCACAAACAATGATCTGGATTATGTTTCAGACTTATAACTTGATCAATTTTTCAGAAAAACTAGTAAGTCTGTAACAGAGGGGAGAGGAGGGGAAGAGCCACGAAAACTTAAACTTAAAACTTATACTCACTATTTTCCTTCGTCAAATATGTGAGCTCCACAAAAAATATAATTGATTTATGTATAAAGACTAATACTAACTAATTTTTTGATAAGATTCCAAGTGAGAGCACTTTAATTTAAAAAAAAGACTATCAAAGTCAAGTTTCTATTCAACAGTTTTTCTAAACTATTTGTTGTAACTAATGTAAATCTTCAGACTTTTGAAACAAAATTTCATTCTATTGTACGCTACGGTTGACCACGAACTGCCTTGTTCAATATTTCATCTCACAAAAATTTTCAATACTATTAACTTTGAAAATAAATGTCATCACAATAGTTTTTCAAACAAGATTCTTTTCGAATGCATTTAAAACCATCAGAGATAGGTCCGCCAATTTCACAATCAAATGATTAAAAAGTTAGAGCAAGCTTTGCTCGTTTTAACAATCTAAATTCTTTCTCTAATCGTACGTTTTTTATTATTAGCACTATTTCTCTGATTCCAAATTATACAGATATATTCTAGAATATAGTATCATTTTTGATAAGCGAATTATTTATGTTTTCTTTTTCTCAGTGAAAAATCAAATAGTTTCATAGGATTGTTTCTGAAGTCTCTCGTGCTGAATAGAAAAATCTATTTTATGTTTCAAAGTATTTATAAAACGACAAGGCTTAATATTTTATTTGCGTAAATTACAGGTCTACAATTATTTTTAACCAAAAACATAATCAAACTATGTATATTTATATATTGTGTAGCTCTTCAAAACATTAGACTCGATATTTTTTTTATTAATTGATCTATTGAATCTGAGAAATTGTATTGAATAAAGTTTGATGATGTTTTTATACAATTTTTTTCTAAAAAGTTTTTTCTCATCACTTCTAATATATTCTGTTTAAGTTTTGATCAGTTTGTGATTTTCAGATAATGACAAGAATTCATAATTTCCACAATACAATCGAACCGTCTATTTCTTCCTTTTTAGAGATAATATAAAAACTTTCTGGCGAAAGTTAGTACATCAGAGTTTTCAATATTTTCTCCAATAACCTCAATCCTTTAGATAGTTTTGAATGTATGAAAACAAACTGCTGAATGACTTTTTAATCTATTCAGGTGTACCTGATAATTCTTTTCATCAAAATCTTTTAAATGAAGAAGCTAAACAAGTTCGTAATGATCTTCATCAGCGAGGGTGTGGGTGTATGCGTGTTGATGAATGTACTGTAACTATCACACCCACACCCACATCCTCAATCAATACGATCGTTTGTGTTCAATGGACTATGGGAAAATATGTTGTTTAACAAACAAAATTCAAGATTCTCTCATTCGAAATTATCTTTAATATTTCCACAATTGCAGGCCTTATCACTTATAAATTTCCTCGATCGACAATTAAATTTATTTCTTGACAAAATCACTGATCTTTCACAATTTGTCAAGCTTGATGTTAGAAATCTTCGAAATGAACATGAAGAAGGATTACTGGAAAAGATTCTAACTGCTAACAATAATCGATTAAAATCCGTATTATTCGATTACGACCCAATCAATTTTATTCTGAGTGAGACTAAAAATGACGAAGCTCTTTCTTATTCGAATATCGAAGAGTTAACAGTAAACATAAAGACACATAAAACATTAGCATATCTATTTACACTTGTACCAGATATTCGTCGTTTACATGTTGATTTCGATCAATTATCATCTGATTCAAAATTGGCATTAGCAAATATGTCATTTCTTGTTCATCTTAAAGATTTTCAGTTACGTTCAATAAACACATATTGGTCATGAGACGAAATTGCTTATATCCTGAGTAAGATGCCATTTCTACAGCGTTTAGCATTGGATCTATGTACAGAAGATGTACATTTTGTTGATGGACAGAATTTCATTCGAATTCTATCTTCATCAATTGTCGAAATTCATTTATTCATTATTTATTACTTCTTCGATTCGCATATTGAAGTAGATACCCTATTGTCTACATGTTCAACTCATGTTCAAATAACATGTTTGCTAGATGAACGGAATGAATATGCAATAATTCATACGATTCCTTGCGACTTACCTCCAATTATCATTCCAGCAACAATATCTAAATCCATGTTGACTGGTTCGAAATATACACGAAAGGTAAAAGATTTAATCATTGTTGGAGAGCAATGTTCAACCGATATACATCTGATTGTGCAACACTTTCATCGGTTTTGAAAGCTCATCATTGGTTCGAATAATAATTTAGAAACACGTATGTTTTTTTTCATAAGAGATTTTTCGACAGAAAACTTTTTTTTTTGAGAGTCTGTGTTTAGTAGAAATAGAAGAATATTACCGTTGACTCTAGATATTGGTGCATATCAATTCATCAGCAGATGTATAGTTAATGGAGAGTCCTCTGCTAGAAATGTTGAAAAACCTTCATGTTTTTTATTCGCCTTCAGAAAAAAAATGCGTATGTTTACTTAAAATTTTCATACTCCTTTTTCGTCTCTGTTAATAAAGTACATGTACTAGATTAGTTGTTGCATCATTTACACTATTACTGGAGAAGTCGAGTGTTTCATTTGAAGAATATTGTAAAAATGGAATGATTCGAAAGGATTGAATGAAGAAGAGATGTCAAGTTTTAGGCAATGTTCGGTGTTGCTGGACTATCAAGATAGTACTTGACAATAATATGGGAATTTGATTGAAGTGAATGACAATAAGCATGGATTAAATCAGAAGTCGATCTTGTTTCATTATTTAATAATAACTGCTCTTGTAAAATGAATATAAATGTTCCAGCTAGCTTCGTTGTAACATATATAGAGAAAAAAGATTTCGTAATTCGCATACCGTCCCAGCATTAAACTATTATTTGGCTTTTCATTGGTATGGATTTGTGAGTAGAAGTATACAGAGTGTACGAAAAATAGCAATCCAAAAAGAAACTCAATATTTTCATTCGGGGCTCATCAATCAGAACTGTTTGTTTCTCAACGATAGAGCAAATTTCGAAATACTTTCTAAAAAGAAAATAGTTAACAGATTCCGTTGTACCATATCATCATTGACTTTAATGAAGAAATGTTATTTTTTTGTTAATTTGGAACAAAATACTTGCGAAGAAAAGTGATCGATTAGGAGATTAATAGTCTATAAAAATCTTCAGAGAGCTTGCATTCTTCTTGAGTTTTAATCGAGACATTATTTTTCTAATAAACGCTTCCATTTCAAATCCTTTGTCCAGTGAAACCTTAATTTCAAGTTTTCATCTGAAAATTTGTTCCCATTAAGGTTTCAAGTTGTCTAGCTTGCTGGCAGAATTTCAGAATTTTTTGGGACCTAAATGCTGACCAAGTTTCAGGTGAAAATTTGAAATTAAGATCTTTACTGAAAAGTAGAGTGCATAATGGAAAAAATTCACTAAATACTCAATACCTTCGTTAAAAGTCGAAAAGATTACAGATTCTCTAAAGATTATTATATAGTCTAGTGATCCCCTAATATTAGAGCACGGTTATGATCAAAAGTTTTCAATCATATGAGCATTCTTCTTCGAAAGTATTTCGTCCAGAAATAAGAAAAAAAAACCGAATGTTTCTATATTAGAGTTAATTTCGAAAGTGCAAAGTGGAATCTGTTAACGGTTTTCTTTTGCGAGAATACTTTGAGATGCGTTCTATCATAAAAAAAGTGAAATAGCCTGATTCATGACATCTTTCAGCATAATTTCTATAATATTAAAATGGGAAGCATGATAAAATCACTTCTCTTTGTTGATCACGATCCGCGATGCGCTTGTGTTTCACCAAAGCAACGTGAAAATATTGAATTTTTTCACATTTCAGTTTTATTTTTTCTAGTAATTATTACGTATTTCTTTCATCTGTAGCTACTTTTCAATCAACTCAATCGATTGTCTTGTATTTTACCTCAGCTAAAGAGTCTCTGCGTGACGGGAACATATGAAATATGTCGTCTAGTTGAAGCTGCACCTAATCTTGAGCATCTGAACATCAGTTTCGTTTGTTTAAATATGACACTCGACGATATGTCTATGTGTGAATCATTGCAAAAGCAAATTGTACATCTTGAAATTACAGATTTTCAAGAGTGTGCCTCTTTTCCATTAGACGTCATTGCACAAAAGTTTAATCATCTTCGTGATCTTAGTCTATTCTTGGAAAGTCCAACAGTTTTGGTCGATTCACTTATTCTATAAGTGCTTTCATTGTGGAGAGATAAGAACCTTCGTGGCTTCTACATCAAAGGTTCGCTAACAGATGAAATAAGTAAAAATCTTCGTCAATGGCTTATCGATCATAGTCATTTACGACAAGAAGATTCATTCATTGCTGAATACGACAAAAATTGGACTGATATATGGCTTCAACGAACTTATTGTGTCGAAATTCGTTGTCCTATTTCAAACGATGAAATCTTATTGACGATCAAACAAAAAAACAAACTTATTCTATATCACACTGACGAAAGTTTTTTTCTTTCATTTCATTGGACATTTTGATTTTCCCAGGTCGAACTCACCCCACCGGATCCGATGGGAATTCGTCGAAAGTTATCGGAATCCTTGGTATCGGATTCCGACAGAAAGTTGTCGGATGTCGAAAGGTGTTGGGTTTCCAGGGTTCCGACAGGATTCTGGCCGCTTTCGACACTTTCCGATATCCCACAACTTCCTGTCGGAATCCGATACCAAGGATTCCGACAAATTCCGGCAAATTTCCATCAGATCCGATAAAATTCGATACTTTTTCCGATAGGATCCGACTGTCGAATTATTCGTCCTGGGTTTTCTTTGTTTCTGAATCATTTATATTTTTCGCATAAAAGGTTTTCTTTCGTAAGAAACTTCGTGATTGAATAATGTGCGATTTTAATCTAACGAATGCGAGAAGCTGCAAGCATTTTTGTTAATAATATCTATTGAATTGGACAAGAACTTTTAAATAGTAATCGGGTGGGTGTGCGTGTGGGTGTGGATGGCGGGTATGAGGGTGTGGGTCAGGCTAATCGTAACACCCACGCCCACACCCCATGCCCATATCCATACCGAGGGCATGGTAAATTCCGATTTCCAGAAAATTCAAAATTGGCTACAGCTAAATCGCAGAAGTTGGGTTGGGCTGGGTTGAGTTGGATTCGGTTGGGTCGGGTTGGGTTGGATTGAGTTGTGTTGGGTTGGTCGGGTTGGGTTGGATTGGATCAGGAAATTCATTTCAATATATAAGTGACGGTGAGACGATATCTGTAAATCCTTGATTACATGTCTTCTTTGAATTTTCAGGAAACTGATTTGAATTCCCGAAAAATTCTTTTGTATTTCTCGAAGCTATCTTCGCTTTCACTTGATGGGAGTCTAGAAGATATATGAGGTAATGCAGCTAATGAAGGTATGAGAAAGTAATAAAGTCATAAGGAGCTACAGGAGGTAACAGGAAGCTGTGAGTATCGCTTTTCCGGCCGGTTCTTTCGCGGTACCGACATCTGCTACGATGTGGTGTGTGTCGTCTTCTCCCCGATTCTGTCGCGGGACCAAAATGACGTGCGATGCAGCGTCTGTTGTTTTGTGGCGGATACTTCCGCGGCACCCACAGCTGGTTCGACGTGGTGTCTGCCGTTTTGTGACCAGTTCTTTCGCCGCACACACACTAGGTCGCATGCAGTGTCTGTCATTTTGTGACCGGTCCATTCGCGGGATCCACACCAGGTACGTTGCACTGAGCATCCTTTTGTGGCTAGTTCTTTCGCGGCACCCACAGCTGGTACCATGTGATCTGTGTCGTCTTGTGGCCAGTCTTTTTCCGGCACCCACACCTGGTGCGATGTGATATGACGTTTTGTGGTCAGTCCCTTTCGCGGTACCCACACCACGTGCGATGTGCATGGAGTGGTTTCGTGGCTAGATCTTTCGCGACACCCACAGCTGACCCGATGTGATGTATGTCGTTTTCTGGCCAGTCATTTCGCGGCACCCACACCTAGTGCGATGTGATGTATGTCATTTTGTAGTCAGTCCTTTCGCGGCACCCACATCAGATACCATGTGAGGTGTGTTGTTTCGTGGCCAGTTCTTTCGTGGAACCCGCACCAGGTGCGATGCAATGTGGGTGTGGATGGAACAAAGACAATGCTGATACTCACACCCAACTCAGCGGAACCCTATCCAACCCGACCCAATCTAACTCAATCCTAACTTAGACTTCAACTTCGTTTCTATATTCTCTTTTTAAGTAGAAGAGTTTTCTATGATTATTCGTAAAAGCATTCGATTAAATTTCCATGAAATTCCTCCTATAGTCACTTTATTTGAATTTCCTGGAAATAGGAATTTACCATCGCATGTCCACACCCACACCCATACCCGAAAACTAAAGTATTTTTTGATAAAAACAGTATATTCTCTATAATAGGGGTTTGGGCAGCGTTTTTATTACTCTCAATAGGGTGTGGGGTGTGTGACATGAGTGTGAGGTGTAGGTGAGGTGGGTGTGGATATAAAGATAAGACGCGCCCACAACCGAACCCACCGACACCCACACCTACGCCAGCATCCTACCCACACCATCCACATGCAGCATAGTGTGCAAGGAGAAAATTCAGTTTTCAATTTTGATTTCAATTAAAATTGACTGTCTTCATGCTTCTTTTGGTTCAGATTATGAGAATATCTTTAGAAAAATGGAAGCAGTCAAAGTACTCATGAGAGTCCTTTTTTTTCGTTGCTACCAGATGGAAAATGGTGCTTTTTTTAAACCGCTGAAATACAGTACTGCAATGCATTACAA